GGCGGCCGCGTCCCCATTGGTTACACTTAAGAATGGACGCGATCGCTCCTCCTGGTTTTTAGTATTTTGACCCCTCCTTTTCGATCGATGCAAGGCGAGAAGGAGATTGCACCAGCCGGCGGTGGGATACGCGCCCGGGCGAGGATCGCTGGCCGCAGGAAGAGGCTGCTTCTGCCAACCTGTACCCGCACGCTTGAGCCCTGGGTCAAACCGGTTCCAATCCTCCGACACTCACCCCACCCCCACTCTGTGGGCCACAGGGGCAGATGCCGGGAGAAGCAGCGGTTCCCATCCACCCACCTCCCCGAGGCAGTTCTGATGCTTTTGATCCGGAACCAGCAGTCAATAACTCAACAAACTTTTCTAAGCACCTCACAGGCACCTAATACTCCTGTGCAGGGCAAAGGGTGGCCGGGGATGAGCAAGTATCTAAGGCTCTTTGCTGTTGCACTTGGGCCCCGAGTTCCTGCACGTGAAAGGATGGAGGTAGCGGTGGAGGCTGGGGCCTGTGTGCTAAGTCCTTTCAGGTTGCTGATTCTCCACTTCCCTGCAATGCTGGCGGACGAGCTGGGACCTGGAGCTATCTCTCAGGTTACGCCCACGCTGACAAGCTGCGAGTTTGGAAACGCGAACAAATATTAACAGGAACATGATCCTAAGGGAAGCCACCACCAGAGCCAAGGAAACCGGCCCTGCGCCAGGCTTGGCGCACGGCCCGCCCTGCTCAGATTTCTAGACAAGTTTCCTAATGGACTCCAGTGGAGACGAACGTGGGGCCCCCTTCCCCGCAAGAAAGGAGTTCATTCCTTGAAGTCTGGGATTCAGTCTTTTTTTTTTTGGTACCGGGGATTAAACTCGGATCCTTGCGCTTGCAAGGCAGGCCACCGAACCGCCGAGCTAAATCCCCGGCCCCTCAGTCATTTTTAAATTTTATCTTCTATTTCCTAATTCATTTTACTAAACTAGGTCATTTTACTATAGAAATATTTTCCCAAGTCTTTAAGTAAAGTTGATGAGCCTGGAACCGGCGCGTGAGCCCACTAGGGGGCGTTCTGCAAGGCCACTCCCGCTTCCGCTGGAGTCTGAGGCTGGCAATCTGCTTTTCTGGATTTGGGCTCCTGTTTGCTGCTGTGGCACGTAGGTGGAGTGGAGCTGAGAGCGCACATGCTGCTTGGGTCTGGGAGTTAGGGGATAGAGTTCCTGGAAAAAGCTGAAGTGAACAAGATCACTGCCTTCCTCAGCACCTTGATTTAGAAAATGCAAAACTGAATAAAGTATGACTCCCAGCCGCACAAACTCAGACGTGTAAAACTTGTTGCATATTCATTATTTTATAAAATAACTGCCTTAGGTCCCTAGCTGCTGGATCAGGGAAGGAATCATCTTTCGTCCTTCTTGGAGCTCGGTAAGCCAGGGGTTTCTTCTGTACACGGTCCTAGGCAGTGACTTCGGAGAAGGAGCCTCATGTGCGTGTGACCCACTGTCCCACTACCCAGGTTTGTGTGGCTGTTTCAGTCCACTGGTGCTCTGTGACTTTTGTGTCCAAGAGGAGCATAGGAATTTGGGATGGGCAGAGGTGGCTGTGGTCTCCCTGAAGACCTACCGCTTCCAAGACATTTGAGGGCAGCTGGTTACATGTACCCTCTGCCTCAGAACCTGGTGAGCTCTTGTCTCTTCCTCCCAGCCCAGGGAAAACTCTTTTGCATTATAGAGATAGTCTTTCTTTCCTTGTTTCCCCCTCGAGAACTGTTCATAAACTCTGGGGACCAAGGCCACAAATATATGTCTCTGGGGGACAAATCCATGTCACCTGGGGACAAGAAGGGACCAGACAGGCTGCAGTAGATTGAGCGCACGTGACTACTTGTGGTAGAGTTGGTTGGGACCACCGTACAAATGGGCTCCCCTTCACAAAAAAGTCATCCCCAAGAAAGGTCTCTCCTGCTTGTTTTGAAGTTCTGAGGATAAAACCCAGTACCTTTACAGTGAGTTACATCCCCCAGCTCTTGTTATGGTTTTTTGTTGTTGTTTGTTTTGTTTTTTTGAGACGGGGTCTCACTATGTAGTTGAGACTGACCTAGAACTCACTATGTAGCCCAGGCTGGTCTCAAACTCACAGCAGTCCTCCTGCCTCAGCCTCCCAAGTACTGGGGTTACAGGCATGCACCACCACACCCGGCCTTTTTTACTTTTTCTTTTGACACGGATATCACTAAGTTGCAGAGGTGCCCAAGCTGAACTCAAACTTTCAATCCTTCTGCCTCAGCCTCCCAGAGTGCTGGGATTACAGGCATGCGCCTGTTTCCCACTGCTTGAGTTCAGGGAGTCCACGTGACCAGGAGCCGTACCAATGGGACGTGAGCAGAGGATATGTAGATCACTTTCAGGATGAGGTAGTTGAGAAACCTATGTGTGTCTCCATTTTCTTTTCTTTTCTTTTTTTTTTCTCCCCATTCTGAATACAGAGGCTCCGCTGCCTTCAGAAAACCCCACAGACTTCAGGGATGGGGAAGCAGAAGGAAAAGAAGCTTGGCTGTCTGAATCACCTGCACTGGGCTTAGCAAACATGCAACAGAAATCACCATCTGTTGTGCTATGCTTCTGACATTTGAGGGGCTGTTTGTTACAGCAGCTCTGGCTATCCTAATTAAGTCACTGTTGTAAATCCAAGCACAGTCCGGATCAGCTGTTTGTTGCCTGGTAGGCACCCAAGGTTGCTCTAGCCATCTTCTGCTGAAAGAAAGGTCAGAAAACCCTGATTTTTTATGCGAGATCACCACATTTTTAAATATCTACAATTTAAACTTTGGCTAAATACTGAAGAGATGAACACTGTGAAGGCAGAACCCAGTTACCTGCCGGCTGACTGAGTCTGCTGGTTACAGGCTGTCCTGAGGACTGATGTGTGTGTGCAGTTCCACCTGTGGTGCCCACTCAACGAGGATTGTGCTCCACCAGCTGCTTAAATAGGGGCTCTGGAAAAGGGAAAACATAGGGGGAATGGAATGTAATCTCCAAGTGTCTGTCACCAGTGGCGATATAGCAAGAGCCCAGGGAGGCCCTGCATTTTGAGGGGACTCTCCTTGTAGAGTCTCACATAGAACTTAAGAAGATGCAGCTTTATGACGTTCGCATTTTGTAAAGAGACATTTCACTTTTTACAATAAGTACAGTGCATTATTCATTCAGTCTTACTGTACATAAGAGATGCTAGACCTGCTCTGCCTCTCTCGTCAGGTCTTCCTATCCTGCAGAGGGCCCAGGAAAGAGAGAAGACATACGATCAGAGGGGGAAAAAATGACACGGGGTGAGACAAGATGATTTCTGCAGACTTTTTGTAGTCAGAGGGACAATACTGTAGTCAGTATTCCTACAGAGAGCGGCGGTACTGCGCACACAGGCCCTGGATTCAATCCCAGCCCACAAATAAATCAAAATATAATGTTCCCGTGAAAAATGAGAACAGGGAGAGGAGTAATCGTAGTTTAGGAGCAAAGAGAAACAAAAGGGTCAAATTATTTGCATTCTGCATTCTGCCCAGACAGGATGATGTATCGATCTTCCTCATTTCACACCCTTTGTTTCTTCCTCTTCGTGGGCGTCATCATCTCCTCCTCCTCCTCCTCTTTGTTCATTTTTTAGTTTTTGTTTCTTTGTTCGTTTGTTTTCTGAGACGGTGTGTCTATGTAGACTTCCAATCCTGCTCAGCCTCCCGAGGGCTGGCATGACAGATATGCACCGCTACATCGGGCTCTTCATTTCTAAAAATTGCGCTAGCATGTAAATAACATAAAATACAAATGAACCAGTTTACCTATTTTTAGTGCATTTCAGTGGCATTGAGGACGTTCACATGGAGGCAACCCACTTTCTGGTCCTCCTTCTGTCTCTCTTCCAGAAGCTTTCTTTCCCTCAATAAATTTTTCCTACTCTTAAAGGAAAAAAAAAAACCCCACATTCACATGATTGTGTGACCGACCTTCGCCTCGATCATCTCCAGAAAGCTCCCATCTGCCCACACGGAAACTCTGCCCACGGAGCGCTAATGACTACCCGGGGTCCCCTGCCCAGTCCCCGGCAGCCACCACCTGCTACCTCCTGTTCATGGGACCACCGTGACTTAGTCCATCTGCGGCTGGCTGATTTCACTTCGCATGGTGTCTTTGAGGATGATCTGCCCTGCTCCATTGTTAGCTGATCACACACTGGTGGCACAGTGTGCATCTATCACGAGCTTGGCACACACAAAGTCCCTAAACGTGTCATTGGGGAGAAGCACTGTGTACGGATTACAGGGCAGAATTACACAGAGAACTGGAAAAAGCGTCAGAACTTGTATGTTTAGCATATATGTATTCTGTTTGCTTGTTTTCTGTTTTTAATAAATGGAGCACATCTGCTAGCACCCTCTCTGAAGTGTGCTGACACACTGAAGTCCTCGACCTCCACCCGACTGG